TCAATATAATAATAGGGTTCGATTTACCACAAAGTCAATTTACTCGGCGGTATTTTATTACACGGTATTGTCTTTTAAATTATTCCTCTTTAAAAAAAATACAATGCTTCGCAGTTGTTCACTCCCTTTATAAAAGATATTGCACTTTAGCAATTGTTTCACTGAAGATGGCAAAGGATTTGCCGAAATTCTGAAACATGTATGTTAAAACGGAATTTTTATAATAAAATCAGCCGCGGCCTTGTTTATATGATATTGAGTTTGAAATTATATGTGCTATATATCCTTACTATATTATGAGGTACACTGGTTATCAAAGGAGTTGAATAGCTATGGTAAAATATATGCAAGGTATCTGATAAGCCTATCAAAACTATGCCTATATACGGATTGACAAATTCACGGCAGTGATTGATGAATAGAGATGGATTGTTAGGCAGATAGATGGATTGATTGATGGACGGAAACATAGCTTCTCTAACACTTTAGTACACATAGTTATTGCTTTAGTATATATAGATAGTTGTCAAACTAATTATAATGATTGGTGTTAGTCAAGTTAATGGTACATTTCGGTGCACAATAGGTAGGACTATATACATTATAATTTAAAATTGCATGATTATAATTTGGTAGCTGCTAAGGATAGCCTAACATACAAATCATTTCCATTTCAATCGCTCAACATTGCGCAGCTGTCCCCGATATCATTACCGTATATTCTCGCGTATAAGACGAGGCTTTAATAGCAAATTACGATCGAAAAACAGGGTCGTCTTATACAAGCAACATATACACGTTTACTACTGAAATAAAGCTACTAACTGCTGGTTTGAATGGACGCATTAAGTCTAAATGCGGGGAAATAAGATTTTGATGAACATTTAAAGTCACAGAAAATGGTATTACAGTATTTGGAAGAGCCCTAAATATGGCTCCGTTTTTAGCCAGCTAGGTGCAGTACCATAGACCATAAAGAGCAGGAAAAAGTGGGAATTTCGAAGGTGAAACGGGAGGGGGAGGGGTCGTCTTATACAGCCGACATACAAAATTGTCCAAAAACTAACGGATCGCCTTATACGCGAAAATATACGGTATTTGTCCTCGACCATTCAAATAAGTTCAAGTTGAAAAATGGATGAAATTTAAAATCAGCTTCTAATCAGACTCAGGTCGAAACAAACTTTAATTACTGTTATGCTGCAAATATGCTTGCATTTAATTTCCGCCATACCGTTTCTGCGTTTGCTACCTGGCCGCCGGGGAATACATTTTTCTTCTTAATTTCTAATTGAAAGCTAATAAAACTAACTTTATTAAATACAAAGAAAACAATTAAAAAAGCTTGAACTGCGTATGCCCGTATCAAGGTCAATTGACGAACATACACACAACATAGGTTTAGGTCGATTGCCCTTGGATACGGGCATGCGCAGTTCAAACTTCAAATTGTTTTACTGTATTGTTCCAGTTTATTAAAACAACACAGAAAATTTACATGTACGTTTTTGCATACACTATGTACGTTTTTTTGCACCTAATTAATACTTTCAATTTATTGCTAGATTAGGTGCGCATGCTTCCTTGCAGGAGCATATCACATTAATGCAGTTAAGTTTAACGTAACATTTACAGGCCTAGCTTATCATATTGATTACGAACAACTATAAGTATGTTTTATTCATGTACAATCTGCCATGATGAAGTGTGGTAATCATTGATCCATAGGAAAACTGTCATCTCTTCACGAACTCATTTTACAAAAGAAATGTCTTTTCTGAAGTTTTAGCGATTGATAATTTAAATTCGATTCAGTTGAATTGACAATCACCTTCAAATAAATAGGTATGAGCAAAATGCAGACGAAAAAATTGTAAAAGTATAAAAGTAGAACAGAGAGAAAAATTGTATATATAAAAGTGTATAAAAGATAGGACAACAGACTAAAAGTGTGAATCATTGCGTTAGTTTTAATACGGTATCATACATTTATTTGACGAGATAATTATTATTGTATTCTTTACATTTAAAGGAATAGTGATGTACAATACTTTACTATTCTGTGATTTTTATGTCATATTAATGTGCATAAATGAATATCAAGTTATATATAGGCCTATATATATATCTATATATATAAATTACAATATAATATATAAAATGTTATTATTGCTATACAGAATAGTCTCACAGTACTAGTGAAAAAATAGATTACTCAAACAAGTATATAAAATTTATAAAACAAGACACGTGTAAATAAATTTAAATAGGGTTTAATCTAAATAGGTCTAACAATATACTCGTCTAAAACACCTTTTAACGCACATGAACATTAGAGAACTGTTTTGTATTAAAGCTCTGCTTCTAAATCTCGACTGGACGGGCGACTGGCTTAAAGCCTTAAGTAGATAGCTCTCCCTGTGGCCCTGGCTTAGCATAATATAGGCCTATTCCCCAATTTTTCATGATTTTTGAAAATGTGAGAGGCTCGCCAATAGGCCTAGTCTTGAATTATCCTAGTCTTATTTAGGCCTGAGAGGCCTTCTGCAGTGTTTCATCAGGCCGTCGAACCTGTTTTTCCTGTAAGTTCTTGTTTTAAGATGCAGGCTAGGTTTGGCCTCCTAAAACGACCGGTCCTTACATATCAATATCATTAATTTTGTTTGTTTATAAATATTTTCTTACCATCATCAACTGTTGTCAACACGGATACTACCTTTACTACTTCTGTCGGTAATATTTGATTGATCTGGTTTGGTAATGTTACTACTCTTGAAGCCTTAGGTCAATTTGCAAAGCACAAGCTGCGAGCTGATTGGTAAGCAGTTGCGTTAGGCCTACAACTCGGTGCCCACCAACTTTTGGAGACTGTAGTTTGCGTTTTAGCGGGATGTACGTGTCTACTTTTTTCAAGTGGTTCACATTGAACAATCAAAGGCCCAATGATCTATAATAGCTGGACTGCTTATCGGCCAATCGTTGGAGGGCCTACGTGACGTAGGCATATCTGTTTATAGACAAGTTTCTTTTGGCATTTGTAAATTATTGTTAAAAATAACGATTCTTGCACTTTTTTTCAATAATAAATTTAAATTTAACGTAAGTTTTTTTTCTTCAAATTATCTAACACACTGATTGTTCATGCAGTTTACAAAAGAGCGAGCGAATTCGCGTTGTTATAGTGACGTCGATCACTAACAACGCAAATAACTTCTTGCGCTTTTTTAAACAGTCACGTCAAGTGAATGAGTTAGATGATTTGAAAAATATTTTTTAAAGAGATCTGTTTTATACAAAAACTCTAAAATCTGTGAACAGAATATTTCCGACAAATTGAGAGAAAGTCCCGTTAGGTCTAAAATGCATTGGTAGTGATGAAAACCGCCAAGAGCCTTCAATTGTTTATGCAAATGAATTTAATTACAGGTATATTATTGTAATTGTACAGTGTAATTACAATTACACTATACAATTACAATAATATACCTGTTTATTATAGTGTAAATGTTATATTAACAATTACACAGACATATCTGAAAAATGTGACCATGATACACGATCCATTATTCACTCTGTGGAGATCCAGATTAAATAATGGTGTAGCTGTGATGAACATTCTAAAGTCCACCCAATGTTGAATCAAAGAAAACAAAAACATAACAGGCATTCATTAATATAAGTGTATTTAACACCAATCAATTGATTGTCCATTATACAAATTACCTCCATCTTCTATGTAAACATTAAACATATTAAATTCAAGTGCATACAATACGGTACTGTGCGTCCATGCCAGTGGAAAACATTGCCAGCAATTAAAATGAACTGTTGTTTCGATACAGCTACATTATTATATTCCTGTTGGGTTTTAACTGTGAAAATTATAAATATAATTAAGGCCATTATACTCTGTTATATTATAAAATATATTATTGTTTATTTTTTTAAATTAATGCTGTATATTATTCTCTATTCTTTAAACTGGGATTTTACTGGCTATTTAAAAACAGCAATTATCATTTTTATTTCAACATTACTATTAGATAATAGAAACTCATCTACTACTTTTTGTAGTAGCCCATTTTCTACGCCGTTTATTTGTAATGTCATAATGTTAACATTTACCTGAAAAATTAATAAATATGAATTATTACTATTATTATTATTATTATTATCATCATTATTATTATTGTTATTCATGATCAGTATGTTTAGAGTAGGCCTATAATTCATAATAATCAATCAAATATTTTGTATAGCGCTGGTATCGATATTAGGCCTATTATGATGTTCAAACGGGTATTGAAAGAAAAATCTTTAGTCATTTTGATTGAAACTATACGTTACTTCTGCTCTATTACAGTGTTTCCTGTTAAAATGTCAGTTCAGAGGCTGAAGATATGGCAGGATCTGCTTCTTCTGTATTTCGCTACAATTCTACTAAACGAAGAACTTGCCTCAGAGGCAATGATGTCATCTTCTTGCCCGCCATCATGTAAATGTGATGTTTCACGAAAGTATGTCACATGTTTTGAAGATAGGCTTAATATTACGTCATTGCCATTTTTATTTCCAAATGATACGAGACAACTTGAAATACGAAAGCAGTCTCTACCAGTTCTTAACGCCTCAATGTTTGCTAACCTCGCACATCTTCGGAAGTTGCTTCTTTCTGCAAGTTGCATACAAGAAATCGAGAATGATTTTACAAAGCTGCAGAAATTGAAACGATTAGATCTTAGTGAAAACAAGCTTGGCGATTTAGTATTTAACACTATTGGGCAGATGAAGCAGTTGAAGGAGTTAATTCTAGATGACAATTTACTCACACTTGCTGGAAACAACGTGTTTATTAGCTTAGAGAACATTGAGCTTTTGAGTTTATCTGGAAATCAAATTGAAGATGTGCCACCTCTACGTGGTCTGGAGGAGTTACAGAAGTTGTACTTGTCAAACAACTTCATTCAAACAATAAACGGAAGCACATTTAATAATCTTTACAAATTAGAAGAACTTTATCTGCAAGGTAACCTCATAACTCAACTAGAACCTGGATGGGCGAACAATCTTCATGTTCTTCGTCATTTAGATTTATCAGAAAACATACTTGGCGTGCAACCGTCACGCAACGTGATCGGACTTCAGAAGAACTGTCTATTGGAGACGTTGTCTCTTTCAGATAATTCTTTACTACAAATACCTTGTCATGACATTTCCAGAACAAAGTATTTAATCAAACTTAATTTATCTTACAATAACATAAGCAATCTTGAAAATGGGTGTTTAAACAAACTTACAAACCTGGAGATAATAGACTTGAAACATAACAAAATAGAAAATATTGAAAATAAAGCACTGCAGTCAATGCCAACTTTGAGGTATCTATTATTGCAAGAAAATATTCTTACATACCTGCCAGCATACTGGTTGAAGGGTTCTAGTG